ATCTGCTTGTCTGATGGATGCGCTTGCCTTCCTTCAGCCGCACCCCAGGTGTGTTGCTGTTGTTACAGGTGGATTTTGAGATCCGGAGTTGCGAATTCTGTGTCAGTTATTGGGCATTTGTCTTGCTTTTAAGATTCTGCTTGTGCTCGTGGCCCTCGTGTGCACTGGAAAGCTGACTTCAGGTGGACGCATCATGGAGCGCCTTCAGGCCTTGCAGCGGTAGTTTGTTGTGTGATTTCGATGCTTAGCGAACTGTCGATGGATTGTGCAAAATGCAGGATATGGAGGCATGAGTAATGGCTTGCAGGACAGGGAAGAGCAGGTTGAGAATGTCCAAGCCCAATTCACCGAGTGGATGGCAAGACCCACGGTCCAATAGAGCGGAAAAGAAGTGTTGATGGAAGTTGATGGACGTTGATGCGATTGATGGACTGACTTTCCATTGCTCCAGGTTCAGTTGCCATGCTATCGGTTTCTTCATTCCCTCTTCTTTCCCCATATGCCCAACTTTTGAGGAGCATTTTGGCTTGTCAGCTGCAGATGCCAGGAGCGGTTGGAAGTCATACTGGGGAAGCGATCCTACAGCAGTTGGTTTTGTCGAGTTGGCAACAAATTTCCAGCATCAACAGCCTCAAGACTGAGTAGGAAGTCAGGGTACATAGGTAGAGCATGGTAGAGCCAGAATGGCAGGTCTACAAGTTAACTAAGTTAACAGTGTAGCCAGAATGTCTGTGAGTGGATGATCCAATGGGAGGGTTCAATTTTTTTTGGCAGGGCAGAACAGCAACTTCGAGATTTGCGAAGGCGCCACGCAGAGGCCTGGGCACGAAGAGCCCTGATGTGCTTATGGTATGCCAATGCTATGCCATAGCGCCATAGCTGTGGACGCCAGGAAGTTGAGTGTGATTCAGTATGATATATTGTGACATGATTGTGACATGATTGTGATCACATGTGATCACAATGGGCATTATAATCATAAGAATATATAAGAATCATAAGCAACACGTCAATCTGACAAATGCCTACCATGACCTTGCTATGCGTAGGTCATGGCCGTGTGTCGGCCAGCACAGCGGCTGGTGCCAGTGAAGCAGGCGCGGCCAAAGCGCTGTCCTCCGATGGAATCATACCGGCCATCATTCAAGTGACCCACATTCCAGTGGCAGACGAAACAACCGGCAGATGTGTCATCAGATGCGGATCCTAGCAGAAGTTTCTAGCAGTGCATGTTGAGCTAGGAATCCTTTCCCTGCATCTCAAGCACACAATGGCCGCTTGGTGGCAGTAGCTGGTCAACTGGTCACTGCGATGCCGCAACGCAACAGTTGCCGAGACCCGAGACCTGAGGCCAAGGATCCCAAGGCCGACACAGGAAGAGGAGCGGTCCTGCAGGGACGCAAGAAATTGACAATATCCTCTATATCTATATATATATATATCTATATCTATTAATATATATATATACTGTATATTATTATATCTATATAGTATGCAATATCATCAAGTAATCTCTGGCAATCTGGCAGGTAGTGACTGAGTCTTTTCAAGAGGCATTGTTTTGCCCCACATGGATCCCGCGAAAGATAAACTTGCAGTTTGCGAAAGTAACATTCTATTTCCCAAAGAATGGCCGTTTCCGGATGAAAGAGTTTAGATTCTTGATCAACCACCATATATTGACATCGAAAGTAATTGTGGGAGGCACTGGACAGATGGGCGGAAGGCCTTTCTTGTTCGCCAGGGCCAACATTGGAGCTTTAAGCATCTAACAGTGTATATATATATATATATTTATATACACACTTGTTTTGGAGTTCAAACAAATTTGTTCCTTTTACCCACACCGGTATTCAGTGCATTCATTGGTCTAAAGTCTTAAGGCCACGTGTCCTTCTCCGCAACCCCAGGATGGAGACGTGGTGTTGGAGGACGATGAAGAGGATGAAGAGGAAGAGGAGGAAGAGGAGGAAGAGGAGGAAGAGGAGGAAGAGGACGAGCCGCCCCATGTTCAAGTTTAAGTTTATAAGCTAGTTTAAATTGAAAAACTAATCATTTTGACGCTTGTTGTGTGCGATATTGGCGATATGTCCATAATTTCCCGAGTATAGTATTGCATATTTGTATCATACATACATGATACATGCAACAATGTATAAACCATTATATAAACCATTGTGTAAAACATCATCCAAACCATGATACAAATCTAAAACCCTTAATATATATATATCTATACGACACACATGTATATGTTCATATCATAGTAATTCCCAAACAGCAGCTGGCCATATATTCAAAGTTCTTTCATGATGTCGGCGTGAGGAGGTGGAAGAAGAAAATCTGGAGGATTTCGAGGCCAAAACACAATGTGGATCATTGATGAATGTCCCACATCCCACCATGGATTGTTGTTCTAAGTTGTGTTTTTCTAAATCTTCACAAAAAAAGTATGAGATCTACCAAGGTTCTGATTTTTTGTGTCTTTGGTGTAGCTTCCCTGGCGGTGTGATGTGTGATGTGTGAAGTCAGCTGCAAGGTCCATGGTGGTCCATTGCAGACCTCGGAAGCGAGACTTGTCGGGTCAGGGTGGAGGATGGGGCCCAAATGGGGGGCTGCTGAGTTGATTATGTCAAGCAGCATGATTCCGATGGTCAGAATTCCCTACTGGGCTTTGTTTTTTTGCTGCTACACTGAACTGAACCAGAACACATGTCATACCACATGCTGTGGCATATCTAGCAACGACTCAAACCAGCAAAGTTGTTGTCGATTTAGAGCAATCTGTCAAATGGACAAAGGGAGAGAAGCGATTTTGGATTGAACAAAGGAGTAATGAGTAATTCCACCACAGGCTTATGTTCCAACACCCCAACATTCAGAACAAACCCGGCAATCTCAGTGATTAAGATTTCCCCGTTTGGGAGCAGTGGCTGGCGTCTCGTTACAAGGATTGCAACAGCAAAGGCCTCTGCAGCAGCAGAAGCTATGGCACATGCGCGGAAGGCAACCTGCTTTCGCCTGTGCATGCACGTGCCTTCATTTCATTGTGACCATTAGACAATACCCCAATTCATTGATGGAAGGCGGACACGAAGCAGCTTGTCAACTTGCCAAAAATCCGTGGATTCTATGCAAGAAGTCACTGTCGAAGCAACAGCTTTTGGCCAGGAACTCTTGCTTGAGCGAGCAAAGTGGCAAGAGGAGAAGAAACAGCTGGAGGAAAAATTGAAGGCGACAGTGGGCGACAGTGGGCGGCAGTGGGGGCTTCCCTGCGATGGGTTGGTGGAATATAGGAATGTCATGTGATGTCCATCTTCATGGTCTTCCAAGCCACGCCTCAGGAAGCGAAACGGGCGAGCCTTTCACAAGAGACAGGCTGGAGCAATTTTACTTTGCAAAAAACAAAACAAAGCTCAAGACGCTCAAGACAGACTCAAGGAGGAGTAACAGCCAAAAATGCAACGAGATCCTGCTGCATTTTGATGGAGGCATCATGGGCTTGGACCTGTTCGAAGTTGGCCCATGGTTAGCGCAGCAGCTGCCCAAGAGTGCCGCAAATGCACGTCCTGGCCATCAGGGGCCTGAGGCAGATGTGTATCTTTGATGTTTTGGGAGAATTCAGGGGGATTTCAGGGGGATGGGCCTTGGTTTCATTGGTTTTCTGCTCATGTGATATACCATGCTATAGCATAAAAGTCATAAAAAGGTATGAAAAGGTGAATTCGGGTGCTTCCAAACCACGCTGGAAGGTTTTTCTATTGAACATTTACCGGAAATCCTGACTGGAAACACGACTTTTCTACAGGCAGGTGCAGGCTTGGACGCACCGCGCCAGATTCTTCTAGATGAACTTCTATGGCCACTGCTTGGGGCAGAAGTCCTGACAACCGTCACGGTCACTTGGCTGAAAAAGGGACGGGACAAATCGGTCAATTTGTCAAGCAAGATTCACCCACTTGCCTCTGGCTTACATCCCTATACTAATTAGATCTAATTAGCAACTCTGGCAATCAGATCATTGAAGACGGGTGGCAGTGTGGCCTTGAATGAATCCGTGGTCTATGGACTTCAGTTTAATTCGGATGCGTGACTCGTCTAACCTCGTCTTACCTTCATGTCTGAGTGAAACGCGCACTCTAACGGAGAGGATCCGTTCTTGATTGCAGAACTGAATCTTTGAAGCAAAGAGAGTCTTTGGTCACATGAGGTTTTTCTTTGTCCAGCACATGCGTTACTATGATGGAATTTTTAGCGCATTCTGACCCTTAGGAGGACTACACTCTCAACTTTGGCATCTTTGTTGGAGCGAAGGATAGCAGGCCACCAGTGCCCGCTCTGCATTTGTGGCTTATAGCTTGGCCGCTTCCCAGAGCCAGTGATAGCTTTCGACAAAAGCCTACTTTTGGATACTTTTGGATACTTTTGGACGATGACAATATCACAGTGTAGTAGTGATCTATTATAATGTAGATAAGATAGTGTAGTGATCCCCTATGTTGCAGCCTGGGTCAACATATTTAAGGTCCTGGGAACCACAGCTATTGTTTCGTTGCGTATTCCTGAGCAGTAAACCATCATAGAATCATAAACCATCCTATGCTGTGGGTACAAACAGCTCTTGGATTCAGCCCATCGTCCCACATCCATCTTCTCATGGTTGCTGCTTAAATTTTAAATCAATACACATACACATATTATATATAATTATATATATACTGTAATAATATATATATAATAATAATAATACTAATAATAATAATACTAATAATAATACTACTACTAATAACAATAATATATTAATTAATTATAATATAATAATATTATATATATATATGATTTAATATCTTGACATATGTGTTCGTTGACTCAAAAATCCCCATGGATGGGCACCTTGCAGGCGGGGCATCCTGCGGCTGTCGGAGTTGCGCCTCTGTCCGCAGGTGTGACTGTCAGCTCTAAGACCTATAAGATCTCTAAGCTGCATTGTTGTCATTATATGATATTATATGTCACTATGAAAATCTATGAAATGATATTAGATGTCACGAATTGAGATGGCAATTCAATGAAGTGAATTAACGAGCATGCAACATGGTGATTTAAAAGGAATTCAACTTACAGAAGTGACGGGCCCTGGGGTGGAAAGATGAGACAGACCTTGTATGGAATCCCATGCCGAACTGGTTCCTTGCTAGGCTTTTGTGTGGCATCCAAATCAGGCCAGTGGACCAAATCAACTTCTTTCCAGCTTTGTCAGCACGAGCGCAGTATTAAGTATCCTGAAATGTCGGGCATGGGCATATAGCCACAGGGAGGTTGATGTTTACTCGTTAGGTGTGGGTTCTAGTTTACCTTAGGTGTGGGTTCTAGTTTACCTGTTCTGGGTACAGGATCGAGTTTTACTGACCCCTCACAGGGTCGAAGTTGATAGCTGAAGACAGGGGGCAGCCTGTGTGGAGGCTTGCGAAAGCCAAGCAGCTTTGCAAGAGGACTTGTGTGCTTCCCTCAGGCGATTGACCGGTTCCAAGAAGTCCACCATTTTCTACAGGCCTTGTTAGAGGCCGGGCCCAAGGCCCAAGGCCCAAGGCTCAAGACTCTGACTATTGGCCAATCGCAGAAATTTTTTGCGCTATTTTTATTTCCTCGAGAGCAAGGACACAGTCCCAGACCTGGTGGAATTCGCATCCCTCGTACTGTTATAAGACGGCGTAATAATACATATAATACGGTATATATTATGAGATCTGCTCCCAGGTCGAGCTGAAGATCAGTTCCTGTCGGACACATTTCTTCCTTGGGCTGAGAAGCAGGCAGACCTTGGCAAAATTGGGAGCAGTATTGGAGCCACCTTTACAGCCTTTATTTGTCAAGCAAGGGATTAAGATGATTCTAGAAATCACAGAGAAACTTTGTTCTGCGGATAAACAAAAGGGTCCAAGAGTCAATCTTTATAATTATATTTGTATTGTACGTGTGTGTATATATATATAGTATAATTATGCAAACAGTACTACAATATATGATTATATATATACACACATTTTTTCCATGTAAATGTACATTATTATTATTCATTCATTGTTTAAGGGGCAAGCATTTGACCAAGTGAACCTCCTGCAGATCAGGAAGCTGCCAAAGTCGCATGGCTCCTCTGCAACCATGGCGAGGTACCAGTTGCAGTTGAGCGTTGCTTTAAAAGTCAAATGTGGTTTGGCTGAACGGAAGTGGGTGTTGTTTGAACTTGATTACCCAGAAAACCAGAGTTTCCCGCACAAACAGGGACCAATAAAAAGTGGATTTTGGAAGGGGGTTCCCGCTAAAACATAAAACAAAATCATCCAGATTCTTGGTTTGTTGTTTGATTTGTTTGCTTCAAGTTTTGTTGCGAGCGCCTGAGATTGTTGTGATTTTGGGATTCATCCAAAATGCTGCAGGCATTTTCCCTCAGCCGTGCCCTCCTGGCGTTTGGCCAGGCTGGGGGCTGTTTTTTCATGGCTGGATTTCTAAAAATGACCCCATTGGATCCATGGCACCACGGAGCCATGGATGGCTTGCAGGCCGCTACAACGGAGTCAAGGCTTCATGACTTGGCATTTGATGGGCATTTCCAGCTTCATTGCCTCATTGAAGCATGTTGAACCAACCTCTTTGCGACTGCAAGATGAAAATGCAAGAAATGTCAAGACATGTCATAATTGCATACCAATAGATTCAATAGATGCCATGCGCAGCACAGAGGATGACAAGCACAGCAACGCCGCAACGCGAAACAGGTGGCGCTCAATTGCCTTTGTGCTGGACCGCACCAAAGGGTCTACCACAGAGCCTGCAGTGGAGGAGAGCTGGGTGACAGTGAAAGTGGTAGAGATATCTACAGATTTTGAAGATCAGATTCTTTCACCAGGTGTCATGGTCAAGTCATGGTCAAGTGACATGACCAAATCAGCCGAGTTTGCACACCTGGTCCCAGGCATTAGCACTTGCAGAGGGCCGCCGGATGGTCTTCGACGTTTCGTGAGATTCGGCCAACATTTAGAAGTGAAAAGACTTCTGGTCTCTCTACCTGGGGTGACTTCTCAGACTTTGGTGACTTTGTCCGGGCAACATCTCTCCTCGTCTCTGCGTCGGAAAAGGTGCACACCATTGTGTCGAGTAGCCGAAGATTCGGAGCAAAAGTATCTTCGTCTCCCAAGTCTCTTTTTGCATGCTTTGCTTATTTTTGCTTGCCAGGTTGTTGAAGTTTTACGAGAGCAAAGATATCAAGCTGCAAGAAGTTGCTCACATAGCCATTGATGAGGCAGCCGCCCCAGATGGGTCGGAGAAGGGACTGGCTGCGACTGAGTAAAGCCTTGGGACACAAATCATTTGACACCCAGCTGGCTGAGATTGGTCATGAGTCATGAGTCATCGAGGGCACTAGAAGGGCTGCTTGTGACACGGTTTACTGCACACAGAACAACTTCTAAACTTCTTCCAAGCAAGTCGCCATTGATGTACTTTTTTGGGACTTGTGTGAGACGACTTTCCTTGAGGCAGACTTCTTGTTGACGCAGGGATTCGAAGATCTCTACAAGATCCTGGACATCGTGAACCAAGAGTCAAGGCCAATGAAGCGACACGAGAAGTGACGCTCTCGCAGTTCGCCAAATAGATGAAGGATATGAAGGAAATGAAGGATGATGAAGATTTGCAGTGCTGGCTTTTGCTTCCTTCCATCAATTGCACCCTTGAATCGGAAGTGCTTATTATTACATCTTATTACGAAGAACACTGAATGCCTACACTCTATCCTTGCTTCTTAGCAGTGCACGTTTCACCCTCACCAGTGCCCTTTTTCCTTTATACTTATCCTTACTATGCTTCAAAAGAAGACTGGCTGCAAGATGACATCACCCAGATTCTTGAAATCAAGCTTGTGGTGTTTTTTTTTTGTAGGCATCACTAGCTGGACTTGTTGAATGCCTTAGATTGCCTTAGTCTCATTGAAATACCTCTCCTTCCAAGCAGTCCAGCTCCGAAAGGTACAAAAAGCGCATGCGCTATTCCCTCATCACAGCAACTTGACACTAATCTGGATGTTCCTGGACTTCCAGACTTATGAATAGATGAAATAATATAATGAAATAGATGCTTCGTATTTCAAGATCCAACACCTCGTACCAATGCACTGATGCCAATGTGACAATTGAACTTCAATGACGGGTTTGTTATGGTTTGTTCATGGCAGAGTTCTCGGGTAGATCCAAGTGATATTTTCAGTACATGGCTGGGATATCCTATGCATATCCTTCTAATGAGGCCAGCATCACCAAGCCTTTGTCCGGACCCCCGGAATTTCAGAAGTGCGGAGCCGTGGAGTTGCAACGACTGATACTCTGGTGAAACGACCATCCAAACGACCCCCCCACACCCGCGAAACCATCAAGGATTGATCATTTGATTTGAAGATTTTGCAGCAACGGAGAGGGCGAAACACTGCATTTATACACATGGTCCGATGGTTGCTGCAGTGCAGTGAGCCCATAGTTTGATCCATCGTTTCAGTGTCACCGCCATTGCAACGGAAGAACCTGAGGTGGAAGATTTTTCAGGAAGACCGCCGTTTCAGGCCGGTTTTTTCATACTTTGATTGCCTCTTGGCGTGTGATATCAGTGATATCTGAGAGTTCCATGCTATGTCCTCCGGAGTGTGAATGAACTAATGAACCATGCTTATTTGACCACTGAGGATTCCTCTGACATAATGATTCCACGATTTGGCTCAAGGTTTTAGTTGCGGAGTGTATAGATTGAGTATAGAGCCTCAAGGCAGGTTAATCATTTGCTGAGCCACTTGAGCCCGTGCCAACCATGGCCAGATGCATCAAGATGCGTCAAGTGCTCTCAGTTGTCATCCTTTTCTCCGCAGTTTTGAAATGCATGCTCTTTGAGGATGGACAGGGAATAGCTCGCAAAGACGCAGACCCCCTGGGCACGATGGCCACCGATTCCGTCAATTTTCCAGGCCGAGCGCTGTTGGAAGACTCATCCTCTCAATTTGATGTCGCTGGAATGACAGAGCCGTGCCATCATCAGCGAGACATACCAGATTTAAAGAAACAGCTGGAGGTTTTGAGGAAGCATGTGATCCATGGGGACTCCTCGGCTGTCAAATCCCTACTCGATAAGTGGAGCGGGCATGATGCCTATGTGCACAACTTGAACAACTTATCCCCAGCCAAAGACCAAGACTATCCACAGATTCAATGTAGTGACTTGAACTATTTGGCAAGGTATCAGGTGAGCTATGCAGAGTCGATCTACGACCAGTTCTACCAAGTCAACTATGCAAATGTTTCCTACATGACGGTGCTGGAGCTGGCTTTGCACATGACCAAAGGCGCCAACCAAAGGGCTTTGACAATGGCCCTGAACAAGAACGAAGTGGATGTAGGAAATCAAGGTGAGCGATCGGAAGATCGCGTCAGAATCATCCGCTTCTTGTTGGAGAAGGGCTTTCTGTGGGGGAGTGGAGACTTGGTGTGCAAAGTCGTTCACCCCGAAAGTGGGTATCACACAGAAGTCCGCGAGGCATTTGCAAGGACCATTTTGCACGACTTGGTAAGAGATCTGGTCCACATGAACCGAACTCGCATCAATTACCTCCGACAACATTGTGGCCGCAACGGCATGGATGGTGTGGTGTGGATCTTGGGGTCAGCCCCAGGAGCCTTCACTCTTCTTGGGGCGCTGAGCCACAAGACGGTGCTGATGAAAGCGGCCCGGGATGACACCAACCACGATGAAGCTTTCATCAATTTTCCGGAACTCATTGATCTTCACAAGGTGCTGCAAGCGCCTGTGACAACTGTGGATCTGGATGGTTGGAATGCAGAGATGCATGCGGCGCGGGTCTTGAAGGCGGAACATGCCAAGTTGCTGACGGAAACCACTTTGGAGATGTGGCGACAGCAGGGCAGAGATGCTTTCAGCTTCTTCTTGCTTGGGGAATCTGTGTCAAACAACCTGTCAGGGTTTTGCATCTTCCTTGCTCTGAATGTCAACATTCTGGCTTACATTGGTGCTTGCTTCTTCATGTGCTGTTTACTCCTTCACACTTCTCTGATCCTATGCAAGAAGCTGTACCCCGAAGGAGCCACATTTGACCACCTGCTGTCTTGCATTGGAGTCTTCTATCAGGATAGCTGTTCTTTCCTTGGTGTTGAAATGCTTTTGAGGGTGCTTTGGCTGCTCACCCTGAACACAGCATTTCTGAACTTCCCGCCAGAGCTCATCATAGCCTGGGAGACACAGACCAATCCATTCGGCATCCCTCCTGTCAGCAAATGGAATCCTCTGCCTGCCACGGTGAAGTTGATTTGCTGCTTTTGCATCATTGTGCTGGTGATGTTTGGAGTGCTTGACTATTTGGATGTTCGTGACAAGGCTCGCAAGTCCAAGGATTCCAAGGCAGGCGAGAAAAAGACTCTTCCTGCTCCGGCATCTCCTGAGGACCGATACCAAGACCCAAAGTTCCACCTGGTTGGTTGTGTGTGCGTCTTTGGGCTGATGACACTCCTCATGTTCATCTACGTGAAGGTCGTGCTGAAGCCTCTGGAAATGGATCCCAAGAGGATGGGACTGTGGCTTGGGTCACTGCTGGTTCAAGTGAAAATCACCTTAGAGGGCACCTTATCTCCTGAAGAGCAGCGGGGTCTCCAACGGCTTTTTGGCCGTCAGAGCCATCGACCAATACCATCAGTACCACTTGAAGGTGAATCACATGTACCAATTGAAGGTGTACATGAGCGCTATCAACCGTTGTGGGATGTAATGCAGAACTGGTACCGATGGGCCTGTTGCATGGTGACACCTTTCAACCCAAAGATGTGGCATTTGCTCATGTATGCCCACAAGAGGAATCCGAATGGTGAGCAGCTGCGAATTCAAAATGAAGACGGTCACCCAGCTGAAGGTCAATGGCCTTGGTGGGAGATCATCTCTCGCTTTGCCATGTCCTACATCTCAAATGGACTTTACAAGGCCATCATTGTGTACACCTTGCCACTCTGGCTGTCCAGAGGAGGCCTCGCAGATTTTGTTCTCAATGCATTTGCCACAGTGTACATCGTAGAGCTCGATGATGTGACCGATTCCGATCGTGAAACCTGGAAGTTGATGACGGAGAGTGACAAGGGCGAGGCCGAGGCCTTCTCTGAGCGCGCGGTAGGTGCTTAGCCCATCTTAGCCCTCCAACGGGACGCATTGCCCAGCAGGTTTAAAGAAATGCGTGCGCCCAGATACCATTAGCCCATCAGCCATCAGCCCACATTTGCCCACATTGCCCACATCAGCCCGCCTGACAGGACCATGAAGGTCCTTGAGTCCAAATCCCTGCATAAGCCGCAGGCCTGAGCTGCTTGATATTGGTTAACCATCATTTTTTGAAAAATTTGAATCAATTTGATGGCCTTATGATATTGATGGGCCTTGTCGGTTCATACTCACATTACAAGTGCCTCATAGTTCACAATGTTGGGTTTGAGATTTATGATGATTTTTCCGATGTATTTCTTCTGCTAAGCGTGGTGAAATGTTTGGTGGCACCAGTTGCAGGCCAACTGTTCGCACACAATGGTCCTGACGAAGGGTCGTTGCAAGATGAGAATGTTGTCAGCATCCCAGAGTTGGAAGAGTTGGCGACACATGGCTATGGATCAATACCTATACATACCATTTTTAGGGGGATGAACATCCATTTACCAGCTATTTTGATGTGCACCAGGGGGATAGGGTTTTGACCCATCCCCACATTGATTAAAATTATTTGAAATAATGCATACAAGAAATGACTTGGAGATGTGTCTGACTCATAATTTGCTGGAAGAATGGCCTCGAAAGATTGAGAATAGCTGGAGACATGCACGTGGTGGTAAACCCGTTCAGAGACATGACCTGCCCACAAGAAAGGCATGCTTGCGTGGAAATGGAGAAGAGTTTCGAGCTGCTTCCGTGTAAGGCAACAAATTGTCCAAAGAGACCTTGGTCAAGAAAGCTTGCGCCGGAGCCTATGGCCTCCATTAGTAATGTATCCAATGCAGTCGTGCCAAGATGTGTCCACTACATCTATAGCTCTTGGATACTTTTTGCATCTTTTTGCCTCCTTGGGCATCACGGGCATCACGGGCATCACCTTAGTTTTGACATGTGATGTTCTCAGGATCTCCCCTCGGTTTCGCAGTTGTTACAGTTGTTACAGTTGTTTAGACTTGGTGAACTTGGGAGGTCGAGGATTGACTCCAAGACAAACGATGGTCTTTTGCAATTCGCTGTCAGCTGCAAAGCACATGCCTTAGCTGCGCTAGTTGGAGCTTTTCAGCACCAAAAAGGCTCTGAGCAGCTGGAGGTGGCATGAAGTGCTTGATGTTCTCGCTTAGTCATCAAATGTCATCAGGTCTCAGGCCAACTTCACAATTTCTTTGCTTTGAGGTCGATTTGCTATCAGCTCAAAGAACAGTACAGCCACGTGCAAGAGCAACAAACCCAGATGGTACAGTCATGGTCCTTGCTACGCAGTCCAGTGATGTCCAGTGAACATAAAGATCATAAAGCATGAACTTGAAACACTGGAGATATCCGGAGATATCCGGAGATATGGTGAACAGCTCAAAAGGATTGGCGTGCCTCATGGACATTTCTTGTGGACCGGCTGAGGAAGATTGGAGTGCTCCACAAACAGATGCTTACGGCTGCTTGTCCTACAATTTGTCTGAGTCCGGCGATTGGGCTCTTCCTGTTCGGTTGCGCATGCTCCATCTTCATTCCATGTGCAACAACATGTTTTCTTTCGTTTATATGCTTCCAGAATCACTTGATGTTTACGCAAAGTGTCAAACAAAATGCTGATGTGTGTTGATTGTGCTCCCAAAAATGGGAGTGTCTGAAGAGATGATACCTCATGGTATACAGTGCTGATGTTCGCTGTGGACTAAGAACCTTGACTCTCGACCTTCAGCTTCGGGCGGATCTAAGGCTGAACGTGCCGATGTGCTGAAAAAGTTGGACCCTCAACAACTTGCTCTCCAGCAATAAATGGCTCTCATTGGGACCCTGATTTTTGTTGATTTTGTTGCCTGATTTTTTCTGATTCTCAGTTGCATCCAGGCATCCAGCAGGCATCCAGCAGGCATCCAGCTTGAACTGAGGTTCGCAGCGGCAGAGACCAATGTATTGGTTTGCACTGACATTGCACAAAGGGGAATCGATCTCCCGAACTGCGAGTGTGGACACCTGGGCAATCCTGGGCATGTTTTTCGTCTGTCATAACAATGGGGGCACCATGAGGCACCATGTAGCCCAAACCCAGCGTGGTTTGCTACATATTCTGTTTGGAATGGATGAGAAGCAAGTGGATTTGGAGGGTCCTATTTTTTTGGTTTCAGGCCTTTGTTTCAACCGATTTGCGAGATCAAGAGATTTCAGAACCAAAGAAATCAGCATCTCTGAGAGAGTCTCTGCCTGGTGTTTGATGATGTTTTGCATTTTAACTTGAATCTCCACGATTTTTGATGTAATGTATGCATTTTCAGTCGCTGATATTCCTGGCTTTTGTTGGTCACAGTTTCATGGTTGCGAGTTGTAACATGTTGTATCACCCTGCAGCTCGGATTTTGGCTCCCAAGGCATGTCATCAACTTTGACTTCCCGTTGAACTCGATCGTCTGCGCCCAAGGGATCCCAGTGATCTGAGGGATCCCAGTGGCACTGGGAAGGTCTGAACGACAGCTGGATCCTTTCATTCTTCCTGTTGCTTCAAACTTCAACCTAAGCAGCTGGAAGATTGCGTTTGACATTCACTGCTGGAACGATGGTAAACTAGGCCGCACTTCCAAGTTTTCCTCCCTATCTATTGGGAACGAGATTTGCCACATCCGTGCCAGAGTCTGTCATGCTACCCTGAGCGCCTTTCATGCAGCTGGAACGGCCCAAAGGAAAGGCTGTTTCAGCAGGTGAATATTATATAGTTGTCCACAAGCAAACTGTTGAAAACTATTGATGTTGATATTGAACGATATTGTTGACTTGATTCAGCCATCTATCCCATTCTGCCAGTCTGCCATTCTCCCTCACTCCAAGCCTGTGGCCGTGTGCTGCAGCTTCGCGCCAATGGCTGAAGGGGAGCCTTTGAAGTTGCGACTTGGCTCCCCAAATGACGCAAAGCAGTATATCCAAGGTATCCATGTCACCTTCGGAATCACCAAAGCGCCTGACCCACCCTGCGCCATGTTCCAACTGTCCATGGCCAAGGATGGACCGGTGGAGTGACACCCTCAACTTTGCTCTGCCCAAGAGCGGAAGCATCCACCTGCATGGGGGTGGACATGGCCTATGTCCAGAAGATGACAAATTTGTACCCTTAAAGCACTGGCTGCCACTGGGTGCCACTGGGAACCTGGTACTGTAGGTTGCAGTAAACGATGGCATCAACTTGATTGCTGGACCTACCTGGATCTTGAATCAGAACATTTGGCAAGCAAGGGGTTTGAATCTGCGCCTCAGGTACAGTTTCGAAGAAATTTTGTGGAGTGTGGCCGTCGAGCACTGCCCTGGGCTTCCGCACTCTTTGGAAGGGTGAACGTTTTGATTATCAGCACCTTGGATTTATAATCATCAGTGTCACCATTTGCCATTTCGTTTTGACATGTTTTGACTTTTTGTTTGTGGATTTTGTGGCCTAGCCTGTCAATCTCAGAGTCTGGGAATGTCTTGTAATTGGTATAGGCCATTGACAGGTTGGAAGAATTTCCATTGTGTTAGTTTAATTTGTAGAATTCCGATTTCCGCGCAAACGTCCAATCAAGATGTAGCGTGATCTGCAACTTTGCAGAAGGGGAGCTACAGTTGGCATGCTGTGACTCTGCAGGCTGTGGATGGAAGGCCGACGATCTCTGGAAAGAGTCCGGAGACCCAGCAGATCTTAGCAGAGCTGCTGCAAGTCCCAGACTCCTAAACTCCCAGTCTGTTGGAGGGGGCCATTTTGACCAAGGCTGGGGCATGTGACCGAAGTCTCTCTTCAAAGCAGAGCAGAAGCTGCAGCTCGGCACCTTTCTCTTATCTGCACGCTGAAGAGAGTGCAGTTGGTGCAGTTTTTCTTCTCCCCGACTTCAAAAACGGTGACTTGCAAGTTTTCACACATTTGTTGCCTTGAGTCACTTGAGTCTTAGGTCCTCTTAGGTGTTTCTTTACGGAGACGGGGTTTAGGATCTTCATTGCAACAGATGGCTGTGACCTTCGTAGAGCGCGTTTAGGACTCAGCCCGGATCTGCAGCCTCATCGATGCTGCTCAGTGCGTGTGGTTCACAGGTCGGCTGATCCAAGGGGTTCCAAGGGGGCTTTCCCATGTCCCAAACTGAGTATGCAAAGATGATAAAGATGAAGTTGCAGTGCAGGTGTATGAACAATTTTTCAATATTTTTCACAAAATCGGATGATTCCCAGTTGAAAGATGTTGAGGTGCATGGCAGGAAAAGTAAGATTACAAGAGACTCCTGTACATGATTGGCAACAGTCGCCTGCAAGCTTTGCGCTTATACGTTACACCGTTACATGATGTTACACGCCACATAATTTTTCAAGTCATATTATTTTCCATACATTCTGAATCTAAAAGGTTCACAGCAGGAACCCATTTTTAATGATTCCAAACCACATCAAGCCAGCTTTTTAACCATCATCATCAGGTATTATTGGGAATCACAATCACCATTAAAAAAAACTATATTCCCATGAATGGCATGTGTATATATATAATTATATATATATAATAATTATATGGAGACATACACAAATATTTATCAACAAAGACCATCTTTGATCAGTGGGACTTCCATTGAGGTGGCGACCAGAGCCGCCTCCGTGGCGCCCTGCGGGGCACGCGCATGGCGGCGGCGCTGCAGCGGCTGCTGCAGCGGCAGGGCGCCGTGGGCGGGGCGGCGGCCGGGGCCTCGTTGTTGTGACGCTTGGCTCAAGTGAAAGGCCTCGAAAAGGTGGAAAGTTGGGCGAAATTCTTGAAATGCACCCCCCCACTTAAGACAATTTTTTTTGGCTTACTGTATTTATATTTTTCCAAATATGCCAAGGCTGCTAAGGCCAAGGTTGGTTTGGGGACATGATTTTTAGGAATTCGGAGCCTATTTTGATGGGGGAATTTGGAGTTGCAGGTAGGCAGAGTGTGGCGACACTTCACACTCAAAGCATGGGACTTTGTGTATCTACAACGCCTTGATTGTATAAATGTATGTGGTGCTGTAGATATGACTGCAGTGGTTTGCTGAATTTTTGGCGCTAAAAGTGCTGGATCAAAGTGCCACAGTTGCTGCAGCTACCTTGCACCACTGGATTAATGCTGAGTACCTGGATGGCCAGTGATGACGGAGGATGCCCCACTTCCTCGGGAAAAGGCAATCCTTCAGCCAGGTGCACTGTGTCCAAATTTCGATGAGATCATGGAAGGTTTGGATCTCCTTCAAGGTGCCTGGAATGGTGTTTTTTTCGGTGTGGCTCTGGCTAAAGCTCTAAAAAAGGGCTTGATCATAGTTTGCTGTTTCCACAACACCTATAACATCAGGAACCCGGAACAAAATTGGGATGACCAAGCCTGCTTTGACCCATGTTGTTTGGTGTTTCGCCGTTTTCAGGTTTGGTCCTGTCGCATTTGCTGCGCCGAGATCGGCAAGATCGGCTGGCAGTGGCTTAGCAAGTTGACTGCTATTGTGGTTGATGGTTAGTTCATGTTAGTTCTATGGTGTTCTACAAACGGTTATAGTTGGATCTCTGAGGTGGGAATCCCACCAGCAGAAGCTTTTGTTTTTTTTTTCCTTCTTTCCACTGTAGCACATTTGTTTCAACATTTGTCACTTTGGATGGTTTCCCATAATTCCAATCTCTTTGAGGGGCCAGGGGTTTTGGGGGCCTTAAGAAACACTTCCCATCACTTCCGACTTCCTGCCCCTGCCGATGTTTCCAAGGCCATAGCGGACTGCTTTCGTGGCATGTGGTGTTGGGGCTTGGATGAAGCTGCTGGGATGGTGCTCAGCAACAAGAAAGTGCACGTGAGTTGTAGGTCCCTCGCCTATGAAATATGATGTGTCTAGATGTATGTTATATATACATATATGTAAAACATGTATGTATCATATATATAATTATATGTATAATATATATATATATGATTGTATATATCAATGGATTGGCTTAAGGGAAAATCTACAGGAAACCATAGATTTTCCCATGAAATATGTGGGTTTCCTGTAATTTTTCCCTTAAACTAATCCATTGAATATATATATATGATTATATATATATATTATATCTCTTGATTATCAGATATTATTAATATTCCTGATGTCAGCACTGGCACGAATGAATATGGATGATCTAGGTCTCCAGTCTTGGCCTTGCGCCATGGATCTGACGGATGCATGGCGTGTCTTCTACCTCCTGGCTTTCAAGGAGGGCTAAAGGCGCCAGTGCTGTGTCCTTTTTTTGAGCTTTTTCACAGGTGGCCTCGATTGGTACTGCAAATACAAAGCTATACGCAAGTTGTCAATTCTAAGACAACAATGTGTCTTCTGTTCTTTTTAGGCAAAACGGTGCTCAGATTCCCAAGTGGATGTGGAAATGCAGGAAGAAATCATACTTGCAAACCAGCTATCATCTGCGTAAGCTATGACCTGATGACATCATTGAGGTCTTGACATAAGTATGCATGCTTTGCTCACTTGAGTCAAATCCATTCAAATCTAGCATTTATCGATCACCCTTCTATCCTAGTACCGAGAAAATCTGACCTCAGGGTGTCATAACCCAAAACCGCACAGCTTCATGGCCCAAAAAGTACTGGAGATCCTTGGATGTCGCAGCATGCCTCAGGAGGTAGAGGAGCAGATGTGTGACTTGCACACCATCAATTGGCATCCTGAAGAAGGAGTGGCACGAGGACTGTCAGTGGTCTGCTTTTCCTTTTCCGGATGAACAGGTGAACATGAACCCATATGAAACCCAACCCCCCAAGCTGCACATTTTGGTCACAGTTGGGGACCCATTGGGGACCCATTGGGGACCCACGAGGCACAGAGATATGGAGTGTCCAGTGGGCTGCCCAGAAGGCGGCCGCCGATGGACCAATCCAAGGGGTCCGGAACCCAGTGGACACCCGACACCCGATGGTCCAATGAGCCGAACTGTATGGAATTGGAACCTTGACAGTTTTGTGGACAAGACAATGTATTCACTATGCAGATTCACTATGCAGATATTTACATGGTATGTTTATAATCGTTTATGAACATGATACTGAATGATACTGAACCATGCTGACCCTATTCTTCCTTTGAGCAGGTACAGACCAATGCCAGCTTCGAGGAGGTGCAACGTGTCCTGGACGGAGCAGCGGGGAAGGGTTTCTTCTCTGTTGTACTTAGATGTACTTATTTTTTTTTCAAGCAATGATAAATATAATATGTATATATATATAGAGAGATCTGTTAGGGCCAGGGCAGCTTTTCGTGCCCTACATATCGTTTCCATTCTTGTAAGACCGTCATTGTTTCAATGAATTGCATCCTGGAACTTTCCAGGCCTCATACAACAATTTACGGTCTAAGGTCATCAGTTCTTGTCTTGGAAGCTGCCGGAGGATAGCGAGGCGAGTCGGACGGCCTGGATGGTGAACCCAGGTGAATCCAGGTGCCACAGTGCCACCTCTCTCCGCATACAGCATGTGCTCTTTGAGAACTAAGGTTTGTATTCTGGAAATTTCAATTTTCTTTTCAATCTTATGGCAATTTATGGCATGATGGATTTACCGGGAGCGGCCTGGCAGCACTCAGGAGACGCACTCGGCGCTGTTTTTCGGTTGCGTCCTCAGAGATCGGATCGTTCACGCTGGGAGGTGGTTTTCACACGAACAGAGCACTTAAATAGCTGGTAAATGGATCACACTGGATCACTATCCCTAATAAAAATTGGTGAGATATTGACCCAAAATAAACATCCCAAAACCCAAATCATCCCACACCGGTCGCTGCATGATGACTTTGGACACTTGTTTCCCACAAGAGGCACTGAACAGTTGAGTCACTGTGCTATTTATAGTCACGCAAACTCAACCGACAGAAGCTTCGTGAGATTTCGTGAGGTAGTCACTGTCACCTCTCTATTTGCTTTGCGCCTCGGCCGCCTCGGATCTCGGATGATGGACGGTTCGTGGTTCGTGACGGTTCGTGGATCATTCTTGTTTCCATCCGGACACTCAGCCCTGCCAAATCTGCCAAGAAGTCCAACTGGCAACAGAGTTTGAATATTCTACAGTGCTGAATCTGGAATGCTCAAAAAATGCTACAAACCAGGGCAGTCTTGAGGCGACCCAGCGCGTTTTCCTGATTTTGTTACGTTGGCTCAAGGACCTGGAAGACCTCCCCCTGCTTTGCTGTTTGCTGCTGGTGCAGTGCGTTGGCGAAGGCCCTTTGTGAAATGCCTGGGTCAACCATGGTCAACCATGGTCAACCATGGTCAACCGTCAGCCCGAAACTGTCGAAAAAGATGTGACGTCTCAAGACATCGCAGACAACTGAAGTTTTCAGAAAATGAAACTGATTCAACTACCATTTTTTTCAAGATAAATATGATAAATAGCCGGAGTATTGATGCAGTGATAGATGTGGCCTCCCTATTCGTTCGCTGCTTTCGAACTCAGGGGATCGCGTGGAGATCAAGTTGAACGACCACCTGCTGGGTCCCTTTGATCCGCCATGGCTGCCATACAAATTTCTGGCCAAAGCCTTCAGCATTCCCATGGGAACGCTGCGCCTGGGGAGCAACACTCTGCGCTTGGCCACAGCTGATGCAGCTCGGCGGGGGGACTACTTAGGCCATCTTAGGCCTTTTCCAAACATTTACCATTTGTTAAAAAAAGCACAACTTGAGTTTATTGAGTTTCTCTTTGCTACTTGGCCGTCATGATCTTCACTCCAAAGCCCGTTCTGCTAGCGTTCCGACCTTCGTTGGTCTGAAGTTCCGCCTGTTCTTGACATTTTTAATATAAGCCAACAGTTCCCTTCTGAGGAACTTCACTTATGTAAATCTACAGCGATCGGACTCTAGCAGCCATGAAAGCGGGTTATAGATACCCTCAACACCTGTTATTTGCTGGTTGAATAGGCTTACCAAGCCAGCTGCAAGTTGTAGGCTCATCATTGTAGCGTAGCTTCTTCCCAACGCATTCCAAGCATGAAAATCATCAGTGCATCCCGGTTTATGGCTGCCGAAATGAAAAAACGATAAGGTAATGGTGCAGCTCTTGTGCCTTCGAGAAATAACGCAATCAGATTTAGTGTTTCTGTCTGCGAAGTCTTTCATATTCTTTCATGTCTTTCCACCATCTATGTAGGTTGGTGGAATTTATGCCTTGAAGATCCTTGAAGTGAAAAGAAACTCAGACATGAACCCTATTGAACAATATCTAACAAAATGGGCGCATAGGCTGCAGACAGATTCACTCTGTCGAAAGTGCCAAGCTGATTGGCCTCATAAACTCTTCTTTTTTCCCTGGGTACAAGGTGCATGCCATACAAAGCTGAAAAGGACCAATCAATTCAAGACAAGACATGCAAAGATTCTCTAGAATGCAAGTAACTTCAAAGCCTACTTCTGATTATTTTGAATATAAGAACTTGAATTTAGCTTCTTGACAATCTTTTTCAGAATTCTGGATAAAGGGACTGAGTGACTAGTTGACTCCCTTCTTTTCATGTTTCCACAATGCCAAACTTCTGTGTTCGCAGAATTTGTTGCTCGCTGTTCGAGTCTCGATGGCCCTGGGAACACTCCTTGCCCAATCTTGCCCGAGGTGAAATCTCGCTACTGCTTACTTTCAGCTTCCTGGCTGCTATGGCTGCCAGACTTTTTGGATTTCTGGAATGATTATGATATATTATGATATGACGGTGGCTGATGCTCTCCATTTCAAACAACCAGTCATGGAGCAGAGCATCGGCCATGGTTAAGGCCAGCTTATCAGACAGCATGATGGAGCCTGACAGTTGGTTGGAATCAAATTTGCCTGCAACGAAGATGCGGAGGAGGAGATTCCGAGATTTGCATGTCTTCCACCGAAGTGTTGTCATTAGAGTTGGTTCGTAGCAATGTGACATGATGTGATATGTTATTTAAGGGCTGCCGCCCCTGCCGCCGACCCCGGTAAAGAATCGGGGATTGCTGGTGAAACAGGCAAGCTGTGTGACGCAAAACTTTGGCAAATGCATTATCACATGCAGGATCATGCGTAACTGGTGCAGCTTTCGGATCAATTGCAGTAAGGTGCTGGCTGCATGACGAGACAGTTGAATTAGAAGCTTACTCTGAACCCAACAACACATCTATGTGCATATGGGCCAAGAGACATAAGACCAAATTGCCAAAAGCTATCATGACAAGAAAGCTCCAGCTTAGGTGGTGGTATAAGATAGCTACACAACTTTTTTTTGGATTGAAGCTATTCTAGTTGGACTGCAGCAACGAGAGCTGAGAGCTACGAAATATGGCCCGTTCGAAATGATGGGACACGCCCAAAAGATTAGAGAAAAAGCAGAGAAGAAAGTCTAACATTTTAGCTTTTTTCCTGTGTAACATATGGTGTAATTCACCCGGCGCAAACCATGCCGGCGCAGCTGCGGAGTGCAAGCGCAGTGCTGGAATGTTGGCTGGCCGGCAATCGTGTCAACACGTCCTCCCTAACAGTGTTAGGGTCCTGTCGCAAGACAGGTGTATTCCCCTGGGATACATGAGATCGCTAACGACTGGGTCACCGACCGGTTCACTCTCAACCTTCGGGGAGAGCGGGCTCAATGTACAGTCTGGCCACAGTGAGGACCTTGTTTTTGGCTCTAAGGTCCGAGCTGCGCTCCATAGGGACTGGGGTCACTGACAAGGTGACTAAGACTTTCCACTCCTTTCTTGGATCGTCTTCTCCGGTAGTGGCTGGAGTCCGGGAACCTATGGGGGCATCCTGTGTTGGCTTAACTTTTGTGTGGTGGTGATCATCTTGTGTGGTGACTTTGGGTTTCTTTCTGCAGCCGCTGCTTCTTCTGCTGCTTCTTCTGCTGCTGCTGCTGCAAGCTGCTGCTTGTTGTTGCCGCTGTTAGGCTTTAGCTGCTGCTGCTGCTGATGATGAAAAAGTGCTGCGCTGCTTCTGCTGCGGCTGCGGCTGCTGTTGCTCCTGTTGCTCCTGTTGTTGCTGCTGCTCTTCCTCCCGAGGTTCAAAACGCATCCTGCTGGACAGGAAAACACAGTAGCCCTGAAGGACAGAACAGCGCAAAAAACGAGCCCAAAAGGTGCCTAACGTCCGTTCTGAAACTCTAGAAAAACAATAGTTTTTGACAACTTTTTATACCACTGTTTGTACAATGAGACATCGAACCCTCCTGTTGCTCCTGTTGCTCTTCCTCCAGAGGCTCAAAACGCACTCTGCCGGACAAGGAAACACACTGGCCCTGAGGGACGGAGCAGTGTCCAAATTGAGCCCAAAAAGTGCCTAACCTCCGTTCTGAAACTCTAGAAAAACAATAGTTTTCAACCAATTCTTCCTCCCGAGGCTGAAAACGCACCCTGCCCAACGGAGAAACACAGTGGCCCTGAAGGACGGAACAGCGCCAAAATCGAAAAGTCCCTAACGTCCCTTCTGACCCCTAGAAAAACAATAGTTTTGGACAAGGTTTTATGGTTTTCGACCAATTTTTATATCACTGTTTGTACAATGAGACATACAACCCTCCTGTTGCTCCTGTTGCTGCTGCTACTCTTCCTCCCGAGGCTGAAAACGCATCCTCCCGGACAGGGAAACACAGTGGCCCTGAAGGACGGAACAGCGCCAAAATCGAGCCCAAAAAGTCCCTAACGTCCCTTCTGAAACCCTAGAAAAACAATAGTTTTCGACCCATTTTTATACCACTGTTTGTACAATGAAACATACAACCCTCCTGTTGCTCCTGTTGCTGCTGCTGCTCTTCCTCCCGAGGCTGAAAACGCACCCTCCCGGACAGGGAAACACAGTGGCCCCGAAGGACGGAACAGCGCCAAAATCGAGCCCAAACAGTCCCTAACGTCCCTTCTGAAACCCTAGAAAAACAATAGTTTTGAACAAGGTTTTATGGTTTTCGACAAATTTTTTTTACCATTGTTTGTACAATGAGACATAGAACCCTCCTGTTGCTCCTGTTGCTGCTGCTGCTCTTCCTCCCGAGGCTGAAAACGCACCCTCCCGGACAGGGAAACACAGTGGCTCTGAAGGACGGAACAGCGCCAAAATCGAGCCCAAAAAGTCCCTAACGTCCCTTCTGAAACCCTAGAAAAACAATAGTTTTGGACAAGGTTTTATGGTTTTCGACCTATTTTTATTATACCACTGTTTCGACCAATTTTTATACCACTGTTTGTACAATGAGACATACAACCCTCCTGTTGCTCCTGTTGCTGCCGCTGCTCTTCCTCCCGAGGCTGAAAACGCACCCTCCCGGACAGGGAAACACAGTGGCCCTGAAGGACGGAACAGCGCCAAAATCGAGCCCAAAAAGTCCCTAACGTCCCTTCTGAAACCCTAGAAAAATAATAGTTTTGGACAAGGTTTTATGGTTTTCGACCAATTTTTATACCACTATTTGTACAATGAGACATAGAACCCTCCTGTTGCTCCTGTTGCTGCCGCTGCTCTTCCTCCCGAGGCTGAAAACGCACCCTCCCGGACAGGGAAACACAGTGGCCCTAAGGACGGAACAGCGCCAAAATCGAGCCCAAAAAGTCCCTAACGTCCCTTCTGAAACCCTAGAAAAACAATAGTTTTGGACAAGGTTTTATGGTTTTCGACCAATTTTTTTTATATTTTTTTTTATACCACTGTTTGTACAATGAGACATACAACCCTCCTGTTGCTCCTGTTGCTGCCGCTGCTCTTCCTCCCGAGGCTGAAAACGCACCCTCCCGGACAGGGAAACACAGTGGCCCTGAAGGACGGAACGGCGCCAAAATCGAGCCCAAAAAGTCCCTAACGTCCCTTCTGAAACCCTAGAAAAGCAATAGTTTTGGATAAGGTTTTATGGTTTTCGACCAATTTTTATACCACTGTTTGTACAATGAGACATACAACCCTCCTGTTGCTCCTGTTGCTGCTGCTGCTCTTCCTCCCGAGGCTGAAAACGCATTCTCCCGGACAGGGAAACACAGTGGCCCTGAAGGACGGAACAGCGCCAAAATCGAGCCCAAAAAGTCCCTAACGTCCCTTCTGAAACCCTAGAAAAACAATAGTTTTGGACAAGGTTGCATGGTTTTCGACAATTTTTTTTTATTTTTTTTAAATACCACTGTTTGTACAATGAGACATACAACCCTCTTCCTCCCGAGGCTGAAAACGCACCCTCCCGGACAGGGAAACACAGTGGCCCTGAAGGACGGAACAGCGCCAAAATCGAGCCCAAAAAGTCCCTAACGTCCCTTCTGAAACCCTAGAAAAACAATAGTTTTGGACAAGGTTTTATGGTTTTCGACCAATTTTTATACCACTGTTTGTACAATGAGACATACAACCCTCATGTTGCTCCTGTTGCTGCTGCTGCTGCTCTTCCTCCCGAGGCTGAAAACGCATCCTCCCGGACAGGGAAACACAGTGGCCCTGAAGGACGGAACAGCGCCAAAATCGAGCCCAAAAAGTCCCTAACGTCCCTTCTGAAACCTTAGAAAAACAATAGTTTTGGACAAGGTTGTATGGTTTTCGACCAATTTTTTTTTTTTTTTTAAATACCACTGTTTGTACAATGAGACATACAACCCTCCTGTTGCTCCTGTTGCTGCTGCTGCTCTTCCTCCCGAGGCTGAAAACGCACCCTCCCGGACAGGGAAACACAGTGGCCCTGAAGGACGGAACAGCGCCAAAATCGAGCCCAAAAAGTCCCTAACGTCCCTTCTGAAACCCTAGAAAAACAATAGTTTTGGACAAGGTTTTATGGTTTTCGACCAATTTTTATACCACTGTTTGTACAATGAGACATACAACCCTCCTGTTTTGGACAAGGTTGTATGGTTTTCGACCAATTTTTTTTTAATTTTTTTAAATACCACTGTTTGTACAATGAGACATACAAACGTCCCGTTGCTCCTGTTGCTGCTGCTGCTCTTCCTCCCGAGGCTGAAAACGCACCCTCCCGGACAGGGAAACACAGTGGCCCTGAAGGACGGAACAGCGCCAAAATCGAGCCCAAAAAGTCCCTAACGTCCCTTCTGAAACCCTAGAAAAACAATAGTTTTGGACAAGGTTTTATGGTTTTCGACCAATTTTTATTTTTATATCACTGTTTGTACAATGAGACATACAACCCTCCTGTTGCTCCTGTTGCTGCTGCTGCTCTTCCTCCCGAGGCTGAAAACGCATCCTCCCGGACAGGGAAACACAGTGGCCCTGAAGGACGGAACAGCGCCAAAATCGAGCCCAAAAAGTCCCTAACGTCCCTTCTGAAACCCTAGAAAAACAATAGTTTTGGACAAGGTTGTATGGTTTTCGACCAATTTTTATACCACTGTTTGTACAATGAGACATACAACCCTCCTGTTGCTCCTGTTGCTGCTGCTGCTCTTCCTCCCGAGGCTGAAAACGCATCCTCCCGGACAGGGAAACACAGTGGCCCTGAAGGACGGAACAGCGCCAAAATCGAGCCTAAAAAGTCCCTAACGTCCCTTTGAAACCCTAGAAAAACAATAGTTTTGGACAAGGTTTTATGGTTTTCGACCAATTTTTATACCACTGTTTGTACAATGAGACATACAACCCTCCTGTTGCTCCTGTTGCTGCTGCTGCTCTTCCTCCCGAGGCTGAAAATGCATCCTCCCGGACAGGGAAACACAGTGGCCCTGAAGGACGGAACAGCGCCAAAATCGAGCCCAAAAAGTCCCTAACGTCCCTTCTGAAACCCTAGAAAAACAATAGTTTTGGACAAGGTTTTATGGTTTTCGACCAATTTTTATACCACTGTTTGTACAATGAGACATACAACCCTCCTGTTGCTCCTGTTGCTGCTGCTGCTCTTCCTCCCGAGGCTGAAAATGCACCCTCCCGGACAGGGAAACACAGTGGCCCTGAAGGACGGAACAGCGCCAAAATCGAGCCCAAAAAGTCCCTAACGTCCCTTCTGAAACCCTAGAAAAACAATAGTAGTTTTGGACAAGGTTTTATGGTTTTCGACAAATTTTTATACCACTGTTTGTACAATGAGACATACAACCCTCCTGTTTTGGACAAGGTTGTATGGTTTTCGACCAATTTTTTTAATTTTTTTTAAATACCACTGTTTGTACAATGAGACATACAACCCTCCCGTTGCTCCTGTTGCTGCTGCTGCTCTTCCTCCCGAGGCTGAAAACGCACCCTCCCGGACAGGGAAACACAGTGGCCCTGAAGGACGGAACAGCGCCAAAATCGAGCCCAAAAAGTCCCTAACGTCCCTTCTGAAACCCTAGAAAAACAATAGTTTTGGACAAGGTTTTATGGTTTTCGACCAATTTTTATACCACTGTTTGTACAATGAGACATACAACCCTCCTGTTGCTCCTGTTGCTGCTGCTGCTCTTCCTCCCGAGGCTGAAAACGCATCCTCCCGGACAGGGAAACACAGTGGCCCTGAAGGACGGAACAGCGCCAAAATCGAGCCCAAAAAGTCCCTAACGTCCCTTCTGAAACCCTAGAAAAACAATAGTTTTGGATAAGGTTTTATGGTTTTCGACTAATTTTTATACCACTGTTTGTACAATGAGACATACAACCCTCCTGTTGCTGCTCCTGCTCCTGTGACTCCTTCTGTTCAAAAGGCACCTGCCGGATGGGAAAACACCATGGCAGTAGTAGTAGTAGTAGTAGTAGTAGTAGTAGTAGTAGTAGTAGTAGTAGTAGTAGTCCGAAACAAGAGTCAAAAGTATTATTCCCTGGCACGCTCCCCCTTGCGTCTGCCGGGGTCGGCGGATATTGACTGCTGGCTACTGGCTGGGTGCTGCTGTCTTATTCCCTAACGCGCTCCCCCTTGCGCAGCCGGGGTCGGCGGATATACGATTTTTCAGTGGACACATCCTGAGTATTCCTGAGTGTTATTCGTTGTTGTTGTTGTTGTTTTTTTTTTTCCTGCGCACCCTTTCGAGTACACCATCATGGCTGCGTCACGACTCTTTTGAAACTCCAACCACAAAGGGAAGTTGAGTCTTGCCGCATGTCAGCATGACCATCATACAAAACAATGCCTAATTACATCTATATAATTAGTTTGCTAGGCAACACTGCTACACACCCATGCTCCCAGCATCTCCCGATCATGATCATCCATATCATCATCCCCCAGATCATGATCATCCAGATCATCATCATCCGGATCATCATCATCCGGATCATGATCATCCAGATCATGATCATCCATATCATCATCCTCCAGATCATGATCATCCAGATCATCATCATCCGGATCATCATCATCCGGATCATGATCATCCAGATCATCATCCTCCAGATCATGATCATCAAGATCATCATCACCCGGATCATGATCATTCAGATCATCCAGATCATCCAGATCATCCAGATCATCATCATCATCATCATCATCATCATCATCATCATCATCATCATCATCATCATCATCATCATCATCATCATCATCATCATCATCATCATCCGGATCATGATCATCCAGATCATGATCATCCATATCATCATCCTCCAGATCATGATCATCCAGATCATCATCATCATCGGGATCATGATCATCCAGATCATGATCATCCATATCATCATCCTCCAGATCATGATCATCCAGATCATCATCCAGATCATCATCATCCGGATCATGATGATCCATATAATCATCCTCCAGATCATGATCATCCAGATCATGATCATCCAGATCATCCTCCCCCAGATCATGATCATCCAGATCATCATCATCCGGATCATCATCATCCGGATCATGATCATCCAGATCATGATCATCCATATCATCATCCTCCAGATCATGATCATCCAGATTATCATCATCCGGATCATCATCATCCGGATCATGATCATCCCGATCATCATCATCCGGATCATCATCCAGATCATGATCAAACCTATCATCATCATCATCATGATGATGATGATCATCATCATGATTATCCGGATCATGATCATCCAGATCATGATCATCCATATCATCATCCTCCAGATCATGATTATCCAGATCGTGATCATCCAGATCATGATCATCCATATCATCATCTTCCAGATCATGATCATCCAGATCATGATCATCATGATCATCATGTTCGTCATGATCATGATCATGATCATCATCATGATCATGATCATCATCATGATCATCACCATCATCATCATCATGATGATCATGGTCATCGTCCTCCACCTCATCATCATCGTTATCATGATCATGGTCATCATGATCATGATAATCATCATCATCATCATCATCATCATCATGATCATGATCATGATCATCATCATCATGATCATCATGGTCATCATCATGATCATCATCATGATCATCATGATCATCATCATGATCATCATCATCATCATCATGATCATCATGATCATCACCATCATGGTCATCATGATCATCATAATCATCATCATCATCATCATGACCATCATCATCATCATCATCATAATCATCATGATGATCATTATCAGGATCATGATTATCATGACCACAATCATGGTCATCATCATCGTCATCATCATCATCATCATCATCATGATCATCATGATCATCATCTTCATCATCATCATCATCATGATCATCATGATCATCATGATCATCACCATCGTTATCATCATCATCATCATGATCATCATGATCATCATGATCATCATGATCATCATCATCATCATCATGGTTACATTTCATGCCGATTCAGCCACTCCAGGATGAGCGGCCGGCCGGCCGATTTCAAATTTCAGCCCGGATTGCACCACCTCTCTACATTCTACGGTTAGTTAGATCATGGTTTGCAATCATGGCCCAGGACAATATGCTTGGATGACCCCATCCACTCCAGGAACTCAGACTCTTCCAGCTCAACTCCACGCTGGGGATACCTCCATCGAGGCCTGATGAAACATGGGGGTTCAGTGATGGTCAGTACATATCTGACATATCTATAGTATACCTGTAGTATACCTGTAGAGTAGAGCATGAAAGATTTGAATTTCGGACCTACTATTTCCATGTACTTCCCAACTTTGACGGAATTTGAGAATGGTTTGATGTAGCCGTTGTATCCCTGAATGGTGGATGTGTCCGACCCCTCCATAGTCGGACACAACGAAGTTTCAGAGCCTACGCCGGTATTGTGAGGTGGAGCCTCGCAGGAAATGGAGGATGATGAGCCTGTTCGGTTGAACATCTATGACCTGGGAAAGAGCAACACAGTGGGCTCCTTAGTGATGTACAAACGCAGAAGGCTGAGAGCTCATTTGTTTCCTTCATTGCGAGTCGAGACTTTGATGACTGTCAATCCATCCCGTATCAAATCACTGGTGACCCAATCAGATTCCCATCGGTATCAGGTACAGAGCCTCAATGGTTGGCTGAAGCCCGTCGGGATTGGTGCCTTTCATTGTGCAGTACAGGTGTGGGTTGCAAACGAAGCACGCACAACCTTCCAGAGTCTGACTGGTGGTTGATGTTTGTGTCAAAGGGAGCTATATAAACGGTTCCAATTATCTTTGGTATAGAATGAATTGACTGAAACATCTGAAACAGTAGCAGCTTATTGCGGCATTGCCCAGCTTTGTTGAGTCCTGGGCATTTTACATTTGAGAAGCGGAAAAACCACGCAGAATTCCAGGTCTATGGTGTTGAGTGGAGCTACGGGGGATGGCGAGCACAGGAGGGGCTCAAAGATTCTGAAGATTCTGAAGCTAAAACTGGCGTCTTCACCTTAGAATTTGGATGAATTTGGAAAGGATTCAGTGTCCAATGGCTTGTTTTTTTTTCGTCAAGCGCACTTAGAGACTTAGATCGTCAGTTGATGTTTCTTGAGAGGAAATCATTTTGATTGGATTCCTGGGATTCCTCAAGTCTCGGATTCAGAAGTTTTGCTGAGATTGGACAGCGACCAATCAGACCATCCTCAGCTTGATTGTTTTGCTGAGATTTGGAGCTGTTTGCCCCAGATGTCAGTAGATCACACCTTCCGCGAGGCTGGGGAAAAAAGGGTGAGACGGAAACAGCAAATTGCAATTTTGAGACTTTGGGATTTTTGGGTTTGTTTGAAGACTGGCACCCGCAACTGAACTTTGACGTGTCAAAGAAATGGAGATTTTGAGAGTGAGAGTGAGAGCCTTTTTGGCACTTCTTGAAGGGTCTCAAGGCTTTTTGCTGAGCGTCCATTTTGTTTCCCCAAGTCACAGTTGAGCTTCTCCACAGTGGCCTTGAGGCCGTGCCAATGGGAAGCATCTCCATGTCAGAGGATGAAACAGTCGAGCTTATCTACAGCTTGATGGAGGTTGGAAGTGACACTAATTCGCTGGTTGAACTCAGTTAAACTTGTTCCCAATGCCAGATGCATATGATTTGTATTTGCACCCTCGAGTGTTTCTGGAAGGAGTGGCCTATGTCTGAGTATGACATCCTTAACAAAAACTGCTGCCACTTCTGCGAGGACCCAGCGCTCTGCCATGTTGTTGCAGGTGATGCTTTTTCGATCTGTCATGAAGCTTTAGCTGCTATAATCTGCTATGTTTTATGCTATAGCTAATGTTCCAAGATTCTGGCAGGAACTCTGCTTATCGCTAGGCCTTGGGCCGTTGCCCAGCCGAGCAGGGCAGCCCAGGAAGCCCAGCGTTGGGTGGTGACGGTGGTGACCACTGGCTCGTCAATCATCAATCCATGGATCTCCGAGGTGAAGAAACTGGCCGGTCTGGGTGCCACGCTGAATGAAAGTGCCCAGGTGGCCGTTGATCAAGTCTTTCAGGCAGGGTACCGGATACTGTTGTTATACTGTTGTTATAGTTTGCTCATGAACGGGCCTCGAATCAGCGAGAATCTGGCCGAGGACACAAATGGTTTGGGGCATCCTCAATTTCTTGGAACCATCTGCCGACAGGTTTGTCAGAAAACAACCGCCATGTGTCACAGGGGTCTTTGTCTCTGCACTAGCGTGTCCAATGCTTCCAAAGTAGCAGGTCGCATCCAAAGTGAAGTCAGACATCGTAGGCCCGAGAGATTGGTTGCTGTGCAAACTTTCAGCCAGCGATGTGACTCAAATAATGGACCACCTTCTGCAGTCCCCTGGAGGTGCTGGCTATGTTGCGACCAACTTAGCGGCTTCTTGGCCAGCGATTCAGTGGTGAACAAAATTGACCTCTACCAGACTCTACCACCCAACACAAGAAGACGGATCAGTTGTTTCTGTGAACCAGGACTTTCTGGTGCCCATTGTCTGCTCCCATAATCTGTAGGACCGACTCTAGTCATAGAATTCTAGAAAGAGAGTCCCTTCAGTTGATGTTGACTTTCACAACTTATCAGCCTGCATATAACCACGGTCAGTTCATATCATAACATCAGGCATAAAAGACCAACAATAAAGACCATATCTGACAGTGGTTTGGATCAACAAAGCTACAACTTCAATGACACTCCAAGGTGCAGGCTGTCATGAGTGGTGCATCAGCTCTGGCAGATGCGCCGCGGCATTTGTCCGCAACTGAAAAAGTCCGCTCACTGCATGGCGTGGGAAGGGCGATTGGACAAACATCGATATAACATGATACAACCAATACACAACAGGGATCAACAGGGATACTGTAAGGGATTAGCAACCATTGTTAGTATTCCTATCGTTCTGCCACATATTTTCGGATACTTTGTTTCATAACCACTGGTTATTATATGTTCTTCCGGTATTGAATCATTCAGAAATTCCCAACGGATCAACGATGATGGCGGTGCCAAGGACTACCTTCACCGTGCTGGTCGGACTGCACGTTATGGGGAGCCTGGGAAGGTGAGGGGTCAATGGTGGCATGGCATTTTGGGTGGGGGGCTGGGATTATTTTGGATGGATATGTTATGGTTTTTTGAATGTTAGGAATAGATCCAACATGATATAATTAGATAATAGATCTAATGTTGGAGTTCATCTTTTTTTAACTCCTCTACAATCACCAATGGGGCGTTTGGCTGATTGACCCTTCACGTCCTTCACTTGATTCGCGACCAATGAGGGTGGCCAACATGACAGACCTTGATGCAGTAGGTTTGATGATTGATTGCAGGTAGGAGACTGAAAGTTGACAAGTCAAAGCTTTTGGATATCTCATGATATCTCCCTCTGTCACTTCAGAAATTTGGAACATCCCAACATGATCCTGCTACAGGGAAAGTGCTCCAATGTCCTACACTGCTGATGCACCGCAGGTGACTTCGCTGGTGAAAAAAGGAGACAAAGCACTGGCGAAGGCCCCGGGTCGTTTCTTACCTATGGTCCAGCGAATTAGGTTCAAGTAGGTTCAAGCACTGACAATTTTGATGTATTTTGATCCTTTCCATTGCCAGAAACTTTCCATTTTTGGCGTTTTGGTTCGGCCCATGACTGAGCGGCGTCCGAGCCATCTGAGCCAGGGGATCGAGCGTTCTGTTCAGCTCGGAAAACCAATCAACGAATTGCCTGGAAGCTCAGTGGGTGGAATCTGAACCTCACAGTGTTGGGAGAGACTTATGAGTCTTATGAGGGTGAGATGGGTGAGTGAGAGCAACATATGCAATATCTTGTAATATGCAACCAATCTGACATGACTGAACTGCATTGGCAGGCCTTTGCGCCTTCTCGTGCACATCCCTATGTTTCAGTTTGACTTTTCTTGCAGCCAAAGTGCTTGAGGCCCATAGAAGGCAACCGGCTAGTGGCTAGAGAAACTACCTCACAAGACGCAGCAGTCTAGTCAGAGACTTCTTCAGCAATCTTTTCTTCAGAAAGTCCTGTGATGTCCTGTGCCTTTCATTCCCCAATGGGATTTCAAAAAGCACCAAACAGCATCAAAAAGCATGGCTTGAAGCTGAAAAAGCTGGCTGCCGATGGCGGATCCTGACACAGTCCTCGAGCTTCTCGGGAGCCAGTAGTGATGCTTTGATGGATGTTCCATAGGACATGGAATGGCTAAAACATGCTAAAACCACCTGAAACCCACAGAATCCCACAGATTTCATACTTTCTGGCACTGTCTGGGAAAGAATCGCTTTGACCTTCCCAGAAGCTGGACCTCCGCATGCGATTCAGCTGCTAAGGTACAATGCTGTCATTGGTGCTCGTGGCAGAGAAAGCCGTGGCTTGGATCATAGAGGACATGAAACTTATTCTCGGAGCAAGCTGAGATCACGATGCTTTTTCGGTGTCACGGGTCGCCAGAGCTCACTAATAAAACTGGGCAAACAGTTCTTGCACGCAACAGCCCCGGAGCTATCCACCAAGGTATTGACCAAGGTTTTGGAGCTGCAAATCACTAAATCAATACATATGTATATGTATATATGTATATATGTATATATGTATATATGTATATATGTATATATGTATATATGTATATATGTATATATGTATATATGTATATATGTGTATTTATGTATATATGTATATATATATGTATATATGTATATATATATATGTATATATGTATATATGTATATATGTATATATGTATATATGTATATATGTATATATGTATATATGTATATATGTATATATATGTATATATGTGTATATATGTATATATATGTATATATGTATATATATATATGTATGTCATCAATGCTATCTTTATCCTTGACTTTGAAGCTGTTGGTTCTGTGCTAAGGTTGGTCAGAGTCTCTGGTCCTGTTGGAGCTGTTGGTGCAACGAGGTGTGGATGGGGAGTCGGGGGCCTGACCTCACCAGAAGCGCTGTGTCTTGCACGGAAAGCGAGCCACAGCCCTTCCCTCATCTGATTTAACATAGCCATGGAAAATCTCTTTATGAATGGAGGTTTTAATGGGAAAATCATCTATAAATGGGCCATTTTCCATGGCTAAGTTAAATAACCAGAGGGTAACTTCATTTATGGCAATTCGTGCATCTTTCGGAAGTTTCAACTATCATTGGAATAGGCTGAATAGGATTTTGACATCATTTGCATCTGCATCATTCTGCATCTGACAGGTCTGGTGGCCACCATGGTGTCGAGGACCCGTCTGTGCTGAGTTATTAGACTTTTGGCAACGTTTGGAACGCTTAGTTAACCACTGTGCAGTACCCAGGAGCGCTGGGCTTGGAGCTTGTGCCAAAGCTCAAAGGTGGCAGAACAGCATGGAACTTCTTCAAGGTCTTGTCAGAGCAGAAACATTGCGTCCCAATGTCTCTTGACAGCATCGGAATTGCGATGTGTTGCATTTTCCCTGTCAAACTTGCAGATGTTATATGTTATTCTTGTGGTGCTTGGTGTTCTAAAGTGGTTCAAGAATTTCCCGTCTCGTCTTCACTGCACGCATCTGCACACTATAGTCTGGTTGCAGCAGCATGACTACTTTGCATGGCAAGGGCAAGCGTGTAGGTCGGTTAGCTAGTTACTTTGGACAGCGACAGCACTGGCAGGATTACAGTAATTCGATTTGTGCCAATTTTGAGGCTATTCCTTTCAATGCAGCAGCTTGACAGCACTTCATCAGTTGAACTCTGAACATTGTCTCAGTCGCAGAGTTGGGCTGCCTCCACTGCCTCCGGTGGCTGAGGTGATCAGTGGATGTGGCAAGTCTGGTGAGTGGAAGTTGAGCCACCAAACCCTGGTGCCTTTGTCGCAAACTGGCGGGCAGGGCTACTGTGGGCTTGTGGAGGAAGAGGGATACTTGGATACTGCCTTACTGCCTTAGCATTCAGTATTCGTTTCAACAATTTGAATTCCATATCATAATTCCATATCATTCCATTAAATATAACATATAGTATATATATATATGTTTTTTACTACCATATTGTTTATCCTACTGGTAGTACAAGGTTCCACCTGAGCACGGCGCAGCAGCGCAGCGACGCAGGAAATCCTGCGCTGCAGTGGCATCCTGCCCACCTTGCTGAGCTTCGGCGCCGCGACGCTGGGCATACAATGGGCATGTGGACTACCAAAAATATGGGCATATTATGACACATATATAATCATATATATATATATAATCATATATATATAGTGTATATATATAGTGTATATATATATATATAATATGTATATGTATATATATAATATGTATATATATATATAATATGTATATATATATAATATGTATATATATAATATGTATATATATATATAGTATGTGTATATATATATATATGACGTATGATGTATATCAGTAATATGACTATGTGCATATACACATGAAGACCCAAATGGACATCGATCTTGGGATAAGTCGTGGATTAGCTAAACCTAAGCATGAGATTGAGGGAAGCTCCCAGTTCCCCAAGATCAGGTTGACAGCCATCACCACTGGTGTCCTGGTTGACACGTGGCTGAAAGCGCTTCATCTCTACTCGCAGATGTGGTGGATGTAGCTTGGAAGCAGATGGAAACAGTACGACCAGTGCCAGAGTGCCAGAAGCTCTTTGCTCCTGGGTTTGTCTGAAAAGTTGACCCCGACATCCAATGGTTGAGAAAAGCCATATTGACATTTTTCCAATGGCTAGTTCATTTTTCCTATTGACATAGCCATTTCATGGCATGCTGCCCCATTCAGACACAGGCCACAAAAAAAAAGTGCCAAATTTCCAGCTCTAGGCATTTGCTTCCCGACTTGGTAGCCTTCAACGCGCTGGGCAGTGCAGCTGCAGTATCGGGGCAATGGCTGCTGATGCTGCGGCTGATGGAGGATGCCACGAAGATGCGGCTACAGTGCGATGCCATCACAGGACGCTGGAGCTCTCGTTCCGGAAGGTTGAAAGTAGTTGCTGTACTGTCGGGGTCATAGCCTAGGGCTAACTGGTGAGATCAAAGGATTGACAGGTCTCAGCGTAAGCCATGCTGAAGTCCTGAATGTAGAGTTTTGCCTTACGTGAAAGATTTAAACAGGTTGAAGATCGGCGGAGAGGAATGGAATGAAGAGGAATGAAGAGGAATGAAGAGGAATGAAGAGGAATGAAGAGGAATGAAGAGGAATGAAGAGGAATGAAGAGGAATGAAGAGGAATGAAGAGGAATGAAGAAAGAAGTCCAGCAACCAGAAACCAGCGACTGAACATTTGAAGAAACTTCCAGAAGAAACTCCCAGCCGACCACAGAGACACTTACAGAGACACTTGCAGAGACACTTACAGAGACACTTTCATCCTAGGGAAATTCTGACTCGTCTAGACTGGATGCAGGACAGGCTTGATCCGAGCTGCCATTTTTTTGCACAGCACAACATGGCTCGGATCGCGACACTAGCGACAGGAACTGCCCTGGTGAGTGCATGTGAGACTCTAAGCGCCTGGCAAGAAGGGCTGGTGAGCTGGAGATCTTTGCGGCAGGAGACCAGCAAACTGCATCAAACTGCCTACACATCTTGGGATGGATTTTGGATGTTGGTGACTTGTTGGTGACTTGGTGGTTGATCTTGTTGGTTGACCTTGATGGATGGCTGACCACGGATGTTGGATCTTGGCGCTCTAGGAATGAACTGGTTTCTGCCTGGAAGCGATCAGATCAGGGTTTTCCCATATGTTCTGGCGAGGATGGCATGGCAGTCAACTTGATCCAACTGAACTCTGTCATCAGCAACGTTGGAAAAGGTAGGGAGCTCTGGGAAATTTGTGAGGGTCCTCTAGTGACTCTAGAGACATATCCAAAACAAACGAATTTGTAAAGATTTCACACTCCAAACCATTGCTTTCATTTGCTTTCCCCTTTCTCCAACCTGCCCAGTGGAAGTTAAAAAAAAATCAGGCTCACATTGGCTTACCATATATGGATATATATAATATATATATATAATATATATGGATATATATATATGTGTATATATATGGATATATATATATATGTATATATATATATATGGATATATATGGATATATATATATATATATAAATATATAATATAATAATATCATATCACATCATATATGAGTGATCCCATTGATCCCATGACCAGGTCTTTGCTGGGATCTCGCAGCAGAGCTGCTGCAGATGTCGCTGCAACCGGATGAAGTGACCTTGACCGCCAGCCTGGCGGCGTGCTGCCACTCGTGCCGGGGCGAAGGGCCGAAGGGCCGAAGGGCCGAAGGGGCGAATGAGATGCTGGGGGATGATATATCTGATACATGCCATAATTTGTATATCATTATATATATATACATATATATCATTATATATAACATTATATATATATACGCGCAACGCCTGGGTAGAGGTTTCCCATTCCCACACACATGTTGATGCAACTTCACAAAATTCCTATGGGAAAAACAACAAAGGTACTAGGGAATATTAAACTCCCACCCCCGTTAAACTTTACATTCAATTGAGAAGATCAACAAAGGTATTAGGGCATATTAAAGTCCCACCCCCGTTGAACTTTACATTCATTCAAGATCTTCAATAAGGGTTTATTTCTCCCACCCCCGTTAAACTTCTACATTCATTGAAGATCTTCAAAATGGGTTTAATTCTCCCACCCCAGTTAAACTTCTATCTTCATTTTGAAGATCTTCAACAAGGGTTTAATTCTCCCACCCCCGTTAAACCTCTACATTCATTGAAGATCTTCAAAAAGGGTTTAATTCTCCCACCTCAGTTAAACTTCTATCTTCATTTTGAAGATCTTCAACAAGGGTTTGATGATGATGATGATGACGACGATGCTGATGCGTTGCCTGTCGTGGTTGCGGTTCCGGGCAAAGCCCAGGCATTTGCCGTATATATACATATATATATATATATGTATGTATGTATGTATGTATGGCTGATACAAATATGTTCTGACATGGATGATATGGAAAATCAGACTGCAACAATCCACATGGAAGATCTGCTGTATCTTCTGGCAAAAGTAACTGTCAACTAACTCATGTCAACTCACCAGCGACAGATTGCAGAAATTGAGGTGACGCCATGCAATGGGACACTGCTTTAGACTGCTTCCTCATGGCCACAGGCAATGGTGGGCTGTTTTTGTATTCACTGATGTCAGCTGCGGTACTCTAGGATATCAGATATGATGCAACTCTTGATATAGCTGAACCATTTGATTCTGCAATGCAGTATTCGTGGTTTGTTTCTTTTCCCATTCATGAAGATAACCCACAGAGGCGACATATCAATCTTCATGATGACTAGGCAATTTGAACTACAGATTTTTCTTAGTTTTCTTTAAGCAACATCAGTGGAATCCCATGGAATCCCCAAAAGTTGTGGTGCCCAACAACCGTCCACCCGGTGGGCCCTGTGGCAGGTGGTTGGAGCTCCAGAGCTTCCGTGACAGCGCTGCTGGGTTCCTTGCGCGGTGCGCAGCAGTGGCGCATGGCGCGGCACAGCTGGGAGCAGTTGCAGGTGCTGTGGTCTCGGTCTCGAAGTTTTCTGTGAAACTGAGTGAAACCTGAAGTCTTTTATTTGCAACGCTTGGTACAATATGTACAACTCATCTTCTGTCCGTTCCTTTCCAAATGACTTGGCTTTGTGCTGCCCACACAAGTCTCGTCGTTTTCAATGAGCATCCAGCCTTGCTGCGAGCGTGGTTGGCTCGCAGGGCAAAGCTAGCAGAAGTCTGACGGATGTCATCAGATGCAAATCATGCCTCATCTGGGTAATTTGTTATAATCCAGCTTCCCTGCCTTACGTATCTTACGTATCAACACATTCAGTTACGCGTGAATTTTATAACACAGCACAACTGCATACAACCACGCATAGTGCCTAGATTTCTGCGATCGAGCTGTGGAGACCTGCAGACTCGGTGTTGAGCACTGTTAGATTTTCGAGGACCACCAAGTGGTGCCCTTGGATTCCCATCGAACCGCTGTTTTGATGCCAGAGAGCCCTGAGAGAAACGAAGTCCTGGAAGAAGAGTTACGGAAATTGCAGGAGAGGCTCAAGCACTTGGAGGCGCAGCTGAAAAAAAAGTGGTATATCTGATACGATCTGATATGGTTTCAAGTTGTTTTTGGTAACTGTTGGTCAAATGATGTCAAATTGATATGCCCGAAGATTCCTGATGGGCAAAAACAGCACATATATAATCATATATATATATATACATACATATACATATGAAACACACACACACACATATATATATGTGTATATGTAGTATGTATATTTATCGGATGGTCAACTGATGGATGACTTATCGGCTTGGGTCCCGAATCTTTGGACACTTCCGTTCTGATTGTCAGTTCATGTTATAATTCATGTTAATTCATTCTAATACTAATATTCACAGTAATCCAGCCATATCCACCCATATCCAACCCCTTTTCTTTGTCAAAATCTCCAGATTTTCTGGTAGGTCAACCTCAGCAAAGATGCCAAAGATCTCTCTTCAACTGAGATGACGTCAAGAGAGATGAAAAGCCAGGAGTTCCAGGAAGGGATGTGCCCAGTGCATTTGGATGAGAGCATTTGGAGTATCGCAGTGGTCATTGGATTGGAACACAGTTACTTGGGGCAACAGTGGCAAGTTTTTTTTTCTCCACCTTTTTTTAATTTTCTTTAGCGATGCGAGATGGCGAGTGTAGTGTGCTGAAATGTTTATTTTTAAGCCTTGCTTGGATCAAATCGTGTGACATGAGCATAGTCTACTTTTTAGGCTGGTACTCATACGATGTGAAAGGTCTATGAGTCTATGGTATAAAAGTGTTTGGTTAAGTACCTGTTCTCTTTGGCTCGTCGATGTATATTATATATTATATTATGCTATTGTCCATACTTGGCACCGCTTCAAGATCAGGAGTGGTAAAACCCATGACTGATGCTTGTGGATGTTCGAGGCTAGACTACACGAATTTGTTCGATTTTAGCATTAATTTATATTAATTTATCATTTTTTTCATGGTCATTTGAATTGCCCTCGATCTCACCAGGTATGTTCAACGGTTTTTTTGATTTCTTCGTTTCTGCCATCCTGGCCATGGTGACGGCAGTCACACAGATCCTGCTGGGTGTTGCCTTGTACGCCGGCTGGCTGCGACCTGAGGCGCGCCCTGGGTCTGTCTAAAAATAGGCAAATTCCACCGGAATTTTAAGGAGATACGGTGGGTACCAAACCAATGGAATTTGCGATAGATTTTTAAAGAGTTAGGAAATCATTTTCCAATTCTTGTAAATCTGTTGTATTGGATCTGTATTGTCATTGATGATATTGTATTGACATTATCATAGGAGACTGGGGATGTGGAAACCCTTGGTATTCCTAGAATCGAGTTTATCTCTGCTGATATTGACGTGTTGACCCAGTTCACAACATCCCTTGTGAGGTCCAAGTGTCGGATGCTAATTCCTGGCGAAATCTATTAGCTCACGATGCCAAATATGTGGATTTGTCAGGAAACAGCTTGGCCACACAGGCTTGCTCTGCAGCCTATTCTGGCTTTGCAGGCCCTGCAGGCTCCATGATTCAAGAGATCAATCTGTATCTGGGACTTTCCAACGAGCAGTTTGACATGTCGACTTTCCGACCCGGCACAATCGTTTGTGTGCTATGCATCTTGATTTGGAGTCTTTGTGTTATGAAAGAGCTGAGAAGCTACTGGCTGATGATTCAAGCGATATTTTGGATTCCCAGGGCTGCAATGAGCGAAATGGAAGGAACCTTGGCCTTATCTTGCAATCGCGTCTGGATGTTGATATCCCTATATGCTTTGCGGACGAGTATCTCACTGGGACTACTAGGAGGAGGCATTCGCCTGCTGGGAAACACCACATCACTGCTGCAGATGATTTTGATTACGGCGGCCCTGCCTGTGATTCTCAACATCGACAAGCAGTTCTTTAGGGCAGTGATGCCCATGGAGATTAAGATAGGCATCCAGCGTTTCAAGCCATTTCGCATCCACTACAGTCGTTTGCATAGCCAGATCGAGACCTTTGTGGCTGTCTTCCTGGTGCTTGCTGTGCTCCTGGTGTCGTACTCCGAAGTGGTGAGAGTTTTTGAAGAAGGGATCCTGGACATCAAAGTGCAGCTCTGTGGTGGGCAACAGGCCTTCGTGGTCGCCCACAACCCTTCATCCCAGTTGACCTATGCCCTGCAAACCGGGACAACCCAAGGAGCTGCAGTCCAGGCAGTGGAGTTGTACCGATACTCCTCGCCTTCCTCGCCTTCCTCACCCTGGGTGATCTTGAGTTCTGAGGAAAGCTTTCAGACCCAAGCCTCACGCGGCATGAAGGAGGAAGCTGCCCTTGCACTCTGCTGGGAGGAACAGACAGACACATCGAGCTCCCAACTGGCAAGGAATGCTGCAGCCCTTGCCCTGAAGCACAACGAAACCACTGCAAGCTGTCAAGACTTGGCTCAAAAGTGCCAAGAACCTTCAGCTCGACTGCTGAGAATGGCTTGCGGCGTGACATGTGGATGTTCTGAACCACATTCGTCACCATGGTACAAAGTGGAAGCGCAAGGCTGCTCTTCTGCATGCCTTGCATCAGCATCCTCCACAGCGAGTGTGATACCATGCCAGGATATGGATAAAGCAAATCAAACTTGGCAGGATTTATGGGATGAGTACATGCCTGCCTTGACAGACTTCCTGACGCTCTCGGGCAATGAAACCACTGCTTTGCTCCAGACTGTCCAAGACATGAAGTCTCAGGGCTGTGCGTTTTTGCTGCAGCAGCAATTTGAACCTGCAACGGGCGCTAAATGGTGCGAGGGTCACCCAGAACTCTTCCGTCCCCTTTCATACCTTTGCCCCTTGAGCTGTGGGGGATGCAGATGAGAGCCTAGATGAGCCTAGATGAGCCTAGATGAGCCTAGCGGCCAGGAAAGAGTCAAAGCGCCAAGAATTTCTACAAGATCCACGGAAGATGATGGGTCTAACGGTCTAACGACTTTTCTGCTGCACTTGCCAAAACCAGCTTTTTGCCTCCTGGAACCAGGAGCATTCCTTTTGACTACCACTAAGTGTGGCCAGAAACCACCTGCCAAAAAATGACAGCAGATCAGTGCAGTGAGCCTTTGCCTGCAAAGCTTGAGCGGTTCTTTCAACATTTTTTAAACGCAGCAAGTGACCTAAAGTTCAGTCTATAGATGTATGGGTATGGGTCAATACCTATAGATACATTTTTAGTGGGATGAACATCCATTTACCAGCTATTTTGGGGTTCACCAGGGGTACAAGGTTTTGACACATCCCCGTATAGGAATTGACTATCCCAAATCGTGTCCCAAAATCCATGGCAGGTGTCGCCGGACCTTCCCTGCGTCAATGAGTTGGTATCCACCAGTGCCCTGAGCTTTCACTGGCCCCAAGCCCTGGTGGATTTCCACCTGCTGCAGGACATGCGCCGGACCTTTAAGTTGACCTTTATAGAAAGGGCCTGCCCAATGGCCCAATGGCCCAATGGCCCAATGGCCATTTTTATATTTTTTATCAGTTTTGTTTTTTACTACATAGAAGAATTGGGAAGACCATCCGGTTGTGTGAAAACGCGGCTTTCCGGGTAGAATGATCACCCAAACAAAGGATGCATAAGGCAGCAAGCAGTTTCAGATGTTTCAGGGACAGATTGGTTGCATGTAGAGTGACTGTGAGACAACAACTTGTGAATGAGGGAAGAAACGGAAGAACACGAGCAGCCTTACAATTTTTCGCTTATGTTTATCACGAAACAGGTACGGTATCAAAACGTGCACCGTAAAAAACCGTTTGGCGGATGTTTGCAATTTCAGGAGCTGCGACTGAAAACAGACACGGTGGCATCTTTGGCAGCACCTAGAATATTGCAGAGAAGCACATCAGAGCGCCAGATGCAGATGTGCACTGCAGCTGAAGGCCTTGAATTCCTTGCTGGCTGCCTTTTTGCCGCTGGGGAAATGGCAGCAGATCATGCTGTATTTGGATGACATCCGTTGGACACTGAGATCCACAAGTGACATGCCTTTCGTGACTTCCTCCTTTGGAATCTTCATTCTTTTGTTGAGTCTTATTCTTCTCTCGTTGAGCCTGGAAAGAAGAAGCAAAACACAATCAACTTACAATCACCAATATCTTTGCCTTGGATTTTGTGCTTTTTTCAAGAACTGATTTTCTCAGTATTGCACTGCAAGCCCGAGGCGACCTCAAAGGGTTCTGCTGTGTAGCTACCTGCTATGCCCGTGCGGCGCAACGAGAGCGGCTGCTGGCGCTTCTGAGGTCCCAAAGATAGATGGCTTTGACATGCATTGATACAGTCGATACGGTCAGGAAATCGATTCAGTGAGTGGAAGTCACTGAAAATCTTGATTTTCTAGTTGTTCGTGGTTTTTGCCAGAAGAGTTAACGCCTCAACTGCCTGAGAGGCACTCAAACTCCCTGAGGCTGGGTCTGGGTCAATGTGTGGCTTGGATGATGCAGGTTCCCAGATTGTAGTTGGCATTTGGATGAACAGGTGACTAGCATCAATCCTAAGCACATTATCAAAAACATACAAGAACACATAAGAACACCTTTCTGATCTTGATAGTCACTTTGCATTCAGCCCCTGCTGATTTGCGTGGATTCAAGCTTTCGTTGTGAGACTGGCGATCTTGGCCGCAGTTGCATTTATGTGTGGAGTTTGTTGACAAATCTTTTAGGTTTTGAGCGCCACCAGCATTTTGTGAGATGATTGGTCTGCGATTTGAAATAATAAGTTGCCCGACGTTGACCCCACATACCCCACCAAAAAGGACATCCTCACGGGGGATACGCATCAGAAAAATATTATGATCAAAAAAACATATTATTAGTATTAGGATCAAAAGAACATATTATCAGGATCAAACAAAAACTATTCTGAGAGAGGGAAGGAAGGAAGGAAGGAAGGAAGGAAGGAGGGAGGGAAGGACGGAAGGAAGGAAGGACGGCCGGACGGACGGACGGAAGGAAGGAAGGAGGAAGGAAGGAAGGAAGGAAGGAAGGACGGACGGAAGGAAGGAAGGAAGGAATTAAGGAAGGAAGGAAGGACAGTGTATTTTTTTCAAA